TTTAATGAATTGACAAATTATGTATCTTGACGAAGTTATCTATAACGGATTATTTTGTATTGATAGCTGTCATAATGACTTTTTAATAATTATCGTAGCACTGCAAAAACTATTTTTGTACGCCACGATTGTGATCATGGATTTTTAATATTTGATTTAATAGTAGTAGATTAATAACAAAAACTGTAGTCTACAAAGGTTTAAATGGCGCGTATTTTGGATACAAAGGACTGAATTTAAAATGAATTTAAAAAAAAAATGCAATTTTGTAGCTTATTTGGAAGAAATCTTGAGTTAGTAGGAGTTTTCTGGCAAATGTTGGGGGTTCGTGAGCATTCCTGACATTGCTGAAAATTTTGAAAGCATCAGCTTGCGGTGCTGCTAGTGTAAAAGGATGCTTTGTTGATTGTTAATTAACTCTTGATCGCTTGTAATACTTATGAATATTTTAGGTGGACAAAAAGGCGAACTAAGAGGTTGACGCCTGAGCTTTTCCTTATTTATATCGCTGTGAAGCAACTGTAAACTCTAGAGGGAATTTATATCTGTAACTGTAACCAGTTCGATTTTGTTTGCAAACCTGGTTAAATTGTCATATTTAATTATCTTAAAGATAAGTCGTCCAGCTCAAACCTTTGTAGGGGTAAGAGGTGGGACCATCTTCAGCATCATTTGTGTGAATTTAAAATCTAACTCCCACTGACTCACAGTGGCATTATGGATAGAATCTTCCTGCAACCATATTTTATATAAATAATTGCAAGAAGCTGAAATCCGGGAGTTAGAAGGTGAGAGCTCTATCGCAACTCCAAAAGCCCATTTTAAAAACGCAAGCATTCCGAAGCTATTGTCGTATACGATAAGCCCCACTCCAATACATTTCACTGTGGTAATCATTAATATTGTACTGGGACTTTCAATCATGTTGTATTGCTTGATTGAACCGTATTTAATGAATTGGGAATGTTTGTAGTATTACTAGTACTAGGAATTTTTTTTTAATTCGTTTATTTTTCCAGGCTCATTTGCCGTAGCTTTGCGGAGCCGATATTCATCGTTTGGGTACAAAATTACTTAAAACTAACGTTAGTAAAGCGGGGGCCGATTACTCGCGGCTTTCTCGAGGATAGGGATAACAAATTGTAACAAACGGGTGGCAGGGTAGGGATTGAGAACACAAGGTTTTTTAGAGCAATGTGCTCTTGATTTAGAACTAAGCGACATACTGGAGAAAAAGACAAACATGGGGGTACACCGATGGAGACCTAGCAACTTGAGAGAACACAAGATGACACTAACTACTAAATCCTCAGATCGATCCGTTTTAAAAACATATAAATCAAATTAAAATATTCGAGATCTCGGCTCGCCAAGATGTCTCTAACGGGGGTACTAGGAAATAAAGTATAGCAATATTATAAAGGACAAAATGGAACGTACTCACCAAATCTGGCCCAGTGAACCCAACAAGCTGGCCTGATGTGTTAGAGGGGAAGTCGCAATTGTAGACGGTTCGCTTCACGGGGTAATCCTGTTTGTGGTAGAGCTTCCATGGAATGTCCCGAATGTTGTCTTGAAACACCTCTTGGCCGTCCGACACAATCCGCACACTGTGGAACTCGGTTCAGGAAATTCAAATAACCGTTAGTCACCAATATCACTTAATTGTTAAAAAATCCGGAACAACGCAAAATCCAAAAAATTTACGGAAGGAAATTTGTTTGCATCCATCTACAAGCACAGCACTCTTCGATCAAAGTAACATACACTGAAAAAAGTTTTCATGTAGTTTCCATTGGGAACGCACATGATATTTTTCCAATAACAAAATTAATGATTCGTATCTTAAATTCACATAACATTCATATGATCGCATGAATTCTATGTGATAAATCACATAAATTTCATTGGACACATAAGGTTCATGTGATTTTGTAGTGCGATACCCAATTATGAGATCACATGAAAGTTATGTGGAATTCTAATGGATATTTTCCATTGGGAATGTGATTTAATTTTTGAGTGTAGTAAAACGCGCATCAGAAAATTACAAGCCACACTCAAAAAATTCCACACGTTTGATCGAAGTCTTTAAACACTTGATTTTTTAAATGCACAATCACATTTACTTAAAGTGCATTTCACCATGGTTCAATGTGTTATACAAGTTAATTTATAGTATTTCAAACTTTGAAATGTTGAAAATCTTTCACTATCTATTCAAGTGTATTGCACATTGAATCACACTACAGATGGATTTAAAGTGTTTTGCATTTCAATGCGATGTGAATCGCTTGCTTAGAAAGGTAAACATCGAAAACAAGAGTTGTGACTTTATCCTATCAACCCGCCTCATATATGAGAACAACCAGGGGGAACGACACTCATTTGGATGTATTTTTTCACTTTAATCATTACTTGGGATTTTCGGGGAAAACATAATTGATGGGATTTTTTTGAGTGTATCGTCTTGACGAAAATAGAGCAAGGATAGAAAAAAATAAATTGGAATGGATCATGGGATGGAATGGATGTGAGCGGTGTAAAAAAATTTCAGAGGGATACGAGTCTGAACGCGAAGAGGATAAGTCTGGAGTGCGTTTTGAATTGGTCGTATAGAGTTCTCCAAATGCACAAAAGTGTGCGTGAGACCGCGCGCTACCTTTTTAAGTAGTTGTGATATCGCGATACCTTTTTGATTATTCTTCTTCTTAATTTTTAAATATGGATGTTGGATTTTAGTGTTCGTGAGATTGCGCTTGGAGATCTCTATGCGATAAACGTAAACAAATTGACGTTTTAATGCTACCAGAAACTACTTTGCTTACTTTTCCTAATATAAAAATTTGGACCCGTACTGTTTAATTTTCTCATCAAAAAACTACTATTTATGTATAAATGATTGTTTTGATCAAAATGATAGCTTAAAAAAAGCTGTAGGTAGGAAATGACGGCTTCGGCATGACAGACTATTTTTGGCAACTCAAATTGAAACGCTAATTACACTGGATTTTCTTATGAAAACACTTCGCTGAATGCATTAAAACGATTCTTCAGGCTTTTAGCTTCAAATTGAATATATTTTTACCACTGAGAAACAGCAATCTAGCAGGATTTTCTTGAAATGAAACACACGCACTACAAAATGCTGCTGATTTAGAGTTGCCGATGAAAACACAGCAGTTTAACACGCAGCTCAAATAGAAAGGTTGCCGAATAAAAAGGTGTTGCCCACAATAGTCGCTCTCACTAGAGAAGTTTGGAGCTTTGTAAAAGCGTTTCAAAACTGTTTTTGACAATTATTTGGGCTAAAATTGTTAGAGCAGCTGACAGCAAAAGATTGTAAACAAACCAATACTGCATATGTGTGCGTTCCTGAGAGAAAAAGGCTATAGAAAGATGGTTGCTGCTTAGGTTGCCGAGAATACGTATATTCCCCTAATTAAATTTTCTTTGTGAATATGTCCAGCAACAAAATGTGTTTTCCATGATTGTATTAAACAACAAATAATAATTTTGAATGATTTATTGTCAGACTTGGTGGCTGTCAGACTTGCCCGTTTCAATATAGGTGCAGCGGAAGAAAAACAAGTGTTTAATTAAATACTCTCCTTAAAGTAAGAAGGTACGGCTGGTGGCGATGGATCACTAGGTTCCGGTTAATCTTCCAGCTCTATTTGGACGGGAATTCGATTCGCAAAATTCGCGCACAGAAATTCCATCAGCCAGCGGGCGGCTTCCTTCTCCCATCTCATGACCAACCCCAGCCAAGAGTACAACTTGGGCCGAGTAGAAAAAATGAATTCTTAAGGCCCAAACGCAATGTGGACGGAAGCGGAACGGAAACGGAAAGTTTGACAGTTGTCACAAATGACATCAAGAAGCCTAACCGATGTCGATTTGGTTCTAACTTGTTTTCAATCCGACAAGTAAGCTTACTCAGATCGGGCTTTTCCGCTGCCGCTGCCGTTCCGTTTCCACTGTCATTGCGCTTGGGCCTTTATTCCACCTGTTCGACGAAGGCGGTTCCATTGTCCGGGGAGGCTTTTCCCAGGGCTAGGATCAGCAGTTTGGCACCTTCCAAGCTACTATACACCGACACCTGGTTGCTCTTCTCCTTCGGATTCAATGGTTTTAAGCCCGGAAAGTGGATGTGCGTTGCCGTCTCCTCCATGATGCGCTTGATGCTTTTGTCCCCGTGACCGATCATGAACGAGTGGTCCATCGTTTATTTTAATGAGATCGTTGAAAACTGACAGCGATTATGACAGAGTGCTTTGCGGTCGACCTAAAAACTGCGAGAAGCTGCACGGCTTGCTTGATAATTTGTGTACATGCAGAAGGGATAAGTTGGGAATAGAAAGAATAGATGTGATGGATTGAAATTTTGTGCACGTTGAAAATTTTATGAGAGATTTGGGTAAAAATGGGATAATCTTGAAGTGTCGTTCCCCCTGGAGAACAACCGTGGCACAGTGGAATCGAACGAAGACTCCGGCAGCAGCACACCCCAACAGTCCATGATCGAATCCCAAATAAGACCCATTAAAAAGATATATGAATGCTCTGGCCTCTGAAAGTTTTGTTTATATATTTGTCGATTCATTTTTAGAGTCGGCAAAGTAGAAGTCGATAAAGTAAAATATTGAACTATGATGTGCAAAGCTATTGATATCACCATATGAGGCACATATAATACAAGTGTGTCACAATTAAAATCCATAGTGTTCAGGCATAATTCATAGCATAAGATTCACACATGAAATGGATGTGTTTCACAATAAGCGCAAAATTAAGTGTGAGACACATGATGATGACGTGTGGAATTTTTTGAGTGCAAGACAATACTTCCCATCAGACGGTCAGTCTCTCTTCCTTATCATCATTGTGTGTGTTAGTACCTCTCGCTCTTGTCTCGTTTGAATTTTCTCTCCTATCTTTCATCCATCCCACTTCCCGAGACTACTCCCGACTCCAGCAGGACGTCCTTCGCTCTCGCAGCATCAGTTCTCCTTCAGCCTTCGATTCGGTAACGTGCCTGTTTCGCGCCTTCATTCTCATCGATTCGTTCTGTTGTGTACTCCAGTGTTGAGTGATTATTTTTTACAGCATTTCCCTGTTTCCCAGTGCCAAGGAAAGTGAGAGTTTCGGTGTGCGTTGATTTGCTTTACTGACGACGACACGGTGGGGGACCTCCCGGTGCGTGCGTGCTAGTTCGTTCGTTCTTTTTCGTTCTACTTTCCAGGGCCAGTTTAGAATACATAAAGAGTGAGTTTTGCGGGTGGCTGCCTAGTGTTCTGCTCCAGGGTTCAGCAATTATGAGGCTTCTGCAATGGGATTCGCTAATAATTTGCCTGATTGTGGCCGCTGTGAATATGTGTAAGTGTAACCATGGTGATAACTGGCATCCTGCCTGGCTGGTACGATGCTGTGGCACGTTGCCCAATTCTGGTTCTATCTGAAAAATATGTATACGAATAAGTGATGAAAAAGCGGCGCACGGAGGCTACTTTGATGAATGAAATGATGTAGTGACCGGTATGAAGGAGATTCGAACCCCTCGTAGCGAAAAATTTCGTGTGTTTCGTTGATAAGAAGGGGGATTGCGACACGCGTCCCGATGCGTATCGTGGCGATTGTTTTAATTTGTTTATAATACGCGCAGTTATCTGCTACCGGCAGGGTCGGCGTAGATCAGAAGAATACTTGTGTGGGGATGATGAAATCTATACTGAATAAATATTTGTTCTGATTTAGGTGCAGCGCAGCAGCAGGCACCTCCGACCATCACATCCATCAGTCCGGAACAGATTAAGGATATTGGAGATACCGTGGCGCTGGATTGCGATATTGACAACGTGGGCAAGTTTACGGTTGGTTGGCAGAAGAGCAATCGGGAGCGGTCGCAGAATGTCAATACCATCTCCTTGGGTCCAACGTTGGCCGTGGCCGAAGAGAGGTTCGAGCTCAGTGATGATAAAGAGAACAATACCATGAAGTACAGATTGACGGTAGGTGAATTGCAATTTTCAGTCGTGCTCGAATGTCAAGAGCAACTCATCAATTATGCATTTTAATAACTCCATTAGAATGAGCTGGCACATGCATATTCTCCCCTAGAGTAAATGTTATTGCCCAAATCCCTACGGGACCCATTCCGACGCACAGACAGGAATCTAATTAACAACCCTTTTGCAATGGCAAACCCCTTTGGTTTTCAGATCAACGACATCGTCAATACGGATGCCGGTCTGTACGAGTGCCAGATTCAGGTGAACAGCACCAACAAGGTGACGGCTACGGTGGAACTTCAGGTCCGTCATCCACCAATTTTAAAGGACAATCTAAGGGCTACCACTGTTACCAAGGCAGAAGGCGAAGATGTCAAACTGACCTGCTCGGCTGAGGGATATCCACGACCGTCGATCTCCTGGAAGAGGGAATACGGTGCCATTCTACCGATCGGTGGACAGAGCTTTGCTGGTAACGAGCTGTCGTTGTCTTCGTTGGTCAAGGATGATCGTGGTACATACTTTTGCATTGCGGATAATGGCGTTGGAAAACCAGACTCCAGGACGATTAACCTTGAGGTGGAATTTGGCCCGGTAATCTCCGTTCCACGGCCGAAAATAGCCCAAGCAACCGAGTACGATATTGAACTGGAATGCGTTGTGCAAGGCTTTCCGTCACCTTCGATTTCCTGGTTCAAAAATGGACAGCAGATTCATAACGGTGGACCTTATGGGTATGTCAACACCGGAAACTTCTCTTGCATAATTTCTACAATTTTGGTTTTGTTACCAGCATTACCCAAACCGGTCAACCGGATGACGTAACGACTTCCACGGTGAAGATCACCTCAGTCGAAAGCTCACACTACGGAGACTACCTCTGCAAGGCTTCCAACAAAGTAGGCCACGACGAAGCAAGGCTGAATCTCTATGGTATGATTTCTACATTTCACACTTGATTTAAATTTTGTTATAATTTCACCTTTATTTACTTATTAATTTTAGAATCGGTGATTCCTGTTCCCTATTGAAGTTTTTAGTTGATTTTAGTATTCTTAGTTCAATCAATCTTAGGTTGAGTTTTGTTTCCTTGAACATTTTGAAAGGTATGTGTCCTTTTGAAAACTACTTTCCAAAAAACAATAAAAAAAATTTCTTGCAGAACAACGCATTCCCAACATCAACTACTCCGGTCTGAAGTGGTCCAGCTCAGGGCACGTTCTCATGAGCCATCTAGGTATCCTAATGGTAACGGTACTGCTGGCAACGCTGTTGTGAATAAGAAGGAGAAGCTAAGTGCAACTGCCAATTTCAAACAAATCAAGCAGAGACGAAACCTACAATCCAGCCAAATGAAACATTAAGAGAAAACGAAAAGTTCAAATACAGCGCACTTAGAAGGCCCATTCCCAGGAACTGTAACCCACTAAGAAAACGAATCAAATTATTTGCATTTTATACAGAAGACATATCTCTACGAGGAAGGATACTTACTTACCCAGAATTGAATCTAAAAATGTCCATATTCGTTAGGCATAGTTTAGGTAGAAAGACGATTACGACTGTTTTTCGGAGGAAACCTGTACAAATGAAACCGAATCTAGAAATTATGGCAAAACAAAAACCTGACAAAAATAAAAAAGAATAAAAATGACCTGGTAGATCATGATACAAAGAGGAAAATACTCGTTTTAGTGTTAGGCAAAACATATTTCGGAAAACGTGTGCGAATAAAGACATAGAATCGTAAGCATTCGTGTTTGTTGTTTAAATGGAAAATCCTTTCCTCTTCTGTCGAAAGGCTACACGCAAAACCAAATGGCATGAACATCAAATGTAAGTGTGGAATTTCATACGACAAATGTAATGCCATGTTATTTCAGAGTATACATTTTCGTATAAAACCTTAAGTCTCAGTGCATTAAAACAAAAACAAACTAAAACACTGGCCAGACTGACCACCCACGAAACATTTTTGGAATTCTGAAAATTCCATAGACCATGATTTGGATTTAAAACCTCTATAAAACTTGTAATGTTACTTGGGCAGTTACTCTCCAACGGGGGTGTTCGGTAAAGAGAGATGATCAACCCGATGTGTACTTTCCTCAACGTTGTCCTTGCTCGCTTTCTACTCTCTATATAAAATTTTCACACTGCCGTACTCTAACGGAACTACCAACTCTATATTTTCATCTCCTCATCTATCGTATACCACTTTAGTCTGTTATTTGACATTAGCATCTTCAATTTATAACATGTTACAACCAAGGGGTAGGTCACTCCGCACACCAATCTTGGGTCAACTTTTGTGCCAACAGTGTGCCGCAAGTGTGCCGGTCATAGAGCAAGGTGCTATTTTTTGTATAACACGTATATTATGGTATATTTAGCAACCCGGTACAGCTTGAATGATTTGGTTTGCAATCGCAATGATAACATCGGTCTAGCGGCAACCAAGGAGGAATGCAATGTCGAAATAAAAAAAAAACATCGAAATATACTAGGAAGGAGCAACCGCTGTCGGAAGTATGAAAAGCCTTTCGTGATGCAAAACGCTACGGTCTATCAACGGCCGAAAAGTTTTGGAACCGGTAGGACATTGTTGGAGACCGAATATAGAGGTTGAAGAGTATGACTTCTGTAGTTTGTTTTGTGTGAGTTGCAGCATTATTTGAATTACAAATACTATTGGGGTCTGATTAATTGCCTCTTACTCTAGAGGCCTCGCTAGAGCCTACGTTTCGAATTTAAATCTGTTTACAAATGAATCGAGAAGTGAACTGCTGGTCTGAGTTCCTCCGGAATATTCAATTAAAGATTGTTCCTAAATTTTCAGTCAAATAGCACGTTATGTTGTGAATAACTTCAATGACAGTTTTGACAGTTTTCCAGCATTGTGAGTATTCCATAAACATAAATCAGCTATGCTGGTAGCCTTTAAGGGTTTATTGAGTCTAGGCATTTGTGCTCAGATTCACACACATGAGCGTTGTACAATCAAAGTTTTACACGGATTAAAATCATCTTGAACAGCATCGGTCAGAAAAGCAGTGACATGCAAAAGCACATAAATATGCTCCAGTAATGGGGGGTGGGGGGGAGGTCAGCTGCCCCCCCCCCTTAACTCAGCCGCAAATTATATTTTTTTAGGGTCCAAGTATCTAGAAAAAAGTTTAAATTTTAAGTTTAACTAGCCTTTGTCGCATTTTTTAGTATATAACTTCCACATTTGTTTGAGTTTCTGAATGAGATTGAAGTCAGATTCATTATATCAGAAAACTCGAAAAAAAAGCATTTTTTTTTCTTGCAGACTAAAAAATCTTTATGATTCTTGGTTTTTGTTGAAGGACTGAGAATCAGTGCTGATAAAAATCATTTCTTCTACAATCAAGTTAGCTGAAAATGAAGACAACCTTAACAGATAGACCAACTACTTGCATGAATCTGAATTTTGACATAACAACATTCTCTGGATCGAGGCAACCTCTGAGTATCGTAGTCAATATTTGTTTTTCTTCATTCGTGGCTGGATGTTCATTATCGTCTTCATCTTGGTGGGGATGATTTTGAGGATCAAATGCAAAATGATTATTTTCATTTTACACAAATATAGCGCTGAAGGACGTGTCGTGTTAGCTTTTACACACAAACCAATGGAAAATTATTGCCTCATGCTGAATTGATGATAAAATCCCGGTTTTAGGCTCTGGAGTCGACAATATTGAAAATAATCATTTTGCCTAAAATGAATTTGATTAGTTTGCTTTTGATGATAATTTCTGATTTTGAAAATTTTGGGTTGGATAATCAAGCACTGGAGAATATCAACAAACGCGTATTCGTTGATGTATAATGAACTCATTTGTTCATTTCACTAGTACGTAACAGCGAAGATTTTCAAAACAATCGCAATTCATCTACACTGGGTTGAAGCGCTACTCCTTGCGTGTAAAGAGCCTGCATTTATATATAAATTCAAGGCTCTTTACTTGCGTGTGATAATAAATGATAAAATCAGGCACTGCTGAGAATTCTTATTCGGATTTAAAAATTTAAAAATATTCTGTTCTTTAAATCCTATTTGTAACTTTGAATTATTCCTCTTACATGAAACTCCAATGACTCTAAAACTTCCCCATGAATCTGACACATTGAATTATTTTTAAAGTTCTTATAATTAGCTTGCTTTTCAACAGTCTGGCACTTGAAAGATTGAGAATGTTGGCTAGAATTCTAAAGAATTTTTTAGCTCAACAGATAATTTCAATGGGTTCTTAATAAATTTTAGAGAATTTAAGGCCCTTGCAATATTCTAAGAAGAATCTTTTAAAAGTTCTGAGGAAATTTTCAAGAGTATTCTGAGGAAGGTTTCATGAAAATGATTAGCAAACTTCAATAGCAGGTCGGAGGTGAATTTTAAAAGATTTCTGAAAAATAGAGATAGGTAAAATAAACTTACTTGCGAGGTTTCATGAGAATACCAGCAGATGGTGAAGGAAATTTCAATTAGAATCCAAATTGTTTCTAGTGTGTCAGAAATTTTAATTGTGAATATTTTTTTTCAATCATGGCAATTGGGTGAAAAAAAAAATTGTCGATTTTAGCGACTTTTGTGTTAAACTTTATTCCAGGATGGTCAAAAAGCAATCAAAAGTGACAATTTTTTCCAATTCCTAACTCATACTTTATGAAAAATCTAAAATAATATGTTTCTAACAAAAGTTCAAGTTAATTATAATGATGGTTATTGAAAAACTATTATCGAATAAAATGGTAGATCTCTACCGAGACTAAGTTTTCAAACATAATTTTGTAAGTTGCTTAAGATAAATAGATGAGTTGATATAAGGGGCCTCCCTTAGCTCAGTCGGTAAAGGCGCAGCTACAAAGCAAGACCATGCTGGAGGTGGCTGTGTTCGATTCCCGGTCCGGTCTAGGAATTTTTCGGGTTGGAAAATTTCTCGACTTCCCTGGGCATAGGGTATGATTGTACCTGCCACACAATTATACTAATGCAAAAATGGTTCAGGCATCGAAAGCTCTCAATTCATAACTGTGGAAGTGCATCTAGAACACTAAGTTGAGAGCACGCAATAAGCTAATATGCGATATGCAATAAGCTTGAAATGCGAAGAAGAAGAAGAAGAAGAAGAAGAAGAAGAAGAAGATATGAGGAATTACGAATGTCTTCGACAAAAATAAGAAATCTTAAAGTATTGAACCTTCACCATATTGAAGAATATTAAAATCCTTTCGATGCAAAAAAAGGCGTGCAACATCTTTTATTTATTTATTTATTTATTTATTATTTATTTGTCGTCAATCAGTGTAGACCGTTTTACAATTGTTGTCTTAAGTGCTATTTTTACAATTTTGTCTTTGTTTATATTTTTTATAATATGTCTTAAGAAAAAGTTAAAACATTACTTCTAGTTGACGTTATGCGACGAATTAAAATATTGCTTTAATTTAGTTTTTGTCATTGTAAAGTCAATGTTATCGCAGTGCTTATTATATGTATCCATCATTTGGTTCAAGGGTCCAAATTTGGCATAATTCGTACGATGACGATTTGTAGCAAATATATTTCTGTTTCGTAAATGCCTAGATGGTGTATATAAATTTAAGGATGACAATAGTTCTATTGAATCAATTCGATGTGATACGATATCGTTTACGAAAGAAATCATAGCAAATTCACGACGTTCTTTTAATGTTTGGATATTTATGAGCATACACCGAGCTGTGTAAGATGGCAGAGAAAATACAGTCCAACCTAACTTGCGGAGTGCATACAACAGAAACTGCTTTTGAACGGACTCTATTCTTTCTTCGTGTGTGATTGAAAAAGGTGACCAAACTATGCTGCAATATTCTAATATCGATCTTACATAAGCAATGTACAATGTTTTTATCGTATACGGATCGTGAAAGTTATAGCAGAAACGTTTTATGAAACCAAGCATGTTGTTAGCTCTGTTAATAATTGTGTTATAATGATCGGTGAAAGTAAGTTTTGAGTCCAAAATAACACCTAGATCCCTGACTCTATCACATTTTTCTACGATCTGGTTTCCTAAAGTGACTGTTATATCGGGTAGCTTTTGTTTTCTACTAATGGTAATGGAGTTACATTTTTTTATATTTAATTGTAGCAGGCTTTTTTGACACCAAGTATGGAATATTTGAATTTCCTCTTTGAATGTGATGATGTCTTTGGCATCTTTTATTTCCAAAAAAAGTTTAATGTCGTCAGCATATATTAAAACTTTCAATTTCTTAATAATGAAAGATATGTCATTGACGAAGAGAATAAATAAAAGTGGTCCTAAATGGGAGCCTTGAGGAACTCCTGAAGTGACATCAACGGGATTTGATATCTTTCCTTTGTATTTTACTATTTGATGACGGTCAGTTAAATATGATTCAAGCCACTTGAGGAGTGCGTAATGAATTCCCATTTTTCGAAGTTTAAAAAGAAGCATGGGTATGTCGATTCGATCAAACGCTTTGCTGAAATCTGTATACAACACTTCTACATAGTTTCCGTTATCCATTGCATTCAAGGAATAATTAATTAATTCGAGCAAATTCGTAGTTGTTGAACGGCCTTTAAAGAAGCCATGTTGCATAGTAGTTATTCTGTTTTTAATTTGAAGAAAGAGTTTTTCATTTACAATCGCCTCGAAAAGTTTCGGAATGCAAGAGATAATAGTTATACCACGATAATTACGTATAACGTTTATA